TTTCATAAAGAAAATTTGATGGGCTTGACTTTGAAGGATTTTGTTGAGTGCGAAAGAAAGAGAACCTTTATTTTGCAGGTAATTGTATTGCATATCGAAAATTCCACAGAAGTGGGAAAAATTTGGAGTACTTTAGCACAGTGAAAGACGGCACGAAGTGAAGTAGAACATAGGTACTGAAAATGAGTTGTGCATAGTTTCAGTTGGATGATGAGATCAGGCTGAGAGTTGGGTTTTGTTGTATTCTGCAACTGAGAACCGTTATGATTTTGAGACTAGTCATTGGATGAAAGTGCTATTCGTAAAACCTGTTCTGAGAATGTATTAATGGTGGAAAAAGTCAACCTCTAGAATATCAAAAAAAAAAAAAGAAATTAGCCAGGAGTTAAGATGTGCTTTATATGTGCATTCATTCGAAAGCTGTAGATTGTACTCCTAATCTGTGTCAGTGTACTAGATGGTTGGGTTTTCTAGGCAAGACAGAGGAAATTTATGAGAGAGCACCTATGAAATGCATCCAAGTGTGTTCATGAATGGTATAAATAACAACAAAATAATAGTGTGACTGGAGGATAAGAGGCATAATAAAATAATAGAAATAATAGTGGAAAGTGTGTCTAAGAGAGGAAATTTGGTCAGCTTTTGAAGGAGCCTGTGTGCCTCTGGCTTCACTGCTGGTGGGACCACAGAGTGCCTCGGGAGACAAAGCTCAGCAGTGTTGGAAGCAGAGCCAGAGTGAGAAGGAAATGGGAAACACTACAGTCTGCATTAAAATTTAACAGAAGTTTAACATTTAAAAAAAAAAGTGGGAAAGAAGGGATGCCATTTGAAGGAAAGTTCAATCAGCAGAAATGACTGTTCTTGAGTGTAGGTTGAGAACATGGAATGAGAGTGCAGGCAGGCAACTTAGGGCCATTGTCAACATAGAAATGGGAAATACAACCAAAAAGCAAATCTTAGCAGGATACAACCCAAAAAGTGGAATGTGATAGAATGTACGGTGGAAACGTTGGCTTTGGTGGAGAGGTGCTTGTTCTGCTAAGATACCATCATATTGTGACAGTGCAGACATTTGACTCTACCTGCCATTTTATAAAAACAATCTCTACTCCTTCACAAAATGCACTCTCTCTGTTATCTTTAATCAGAAAAGACATTTGATGAGGCTTATATCTTTTCTTACCCCTTTTTACTGAAGAGAGTAAGATGTTCACTCTGTTTAAAAATAAACATTCAAACACGTACAGATGAATCATGGTATCTTTGTATTAGTCTAGAAGACTTGTTTCTAAAATGGTGTTTATTTTAAAATAGAGCCTATGTCAGTGAATTGGGTAAAATTGATAAAAAATATAAAATAGAAGTATTATTTTCTTGTATTGATATTATTTTAAATTCTCCTAATGAGGGCATTTTCTTTTTATAATTAATTACTATATTTTAAATTCTGCTACCTTGCTAAGGTCATCTAAAATTGGATTTGAGGGACTGGGAACCTTGCGGGTGTGCGTTACAAAAAACGGCAGTGATATTCTTACTAAGCCTACCATACGTGGTAAAATCTTCAAGTGTTTTTGTACTATTTGAAAGTTTCATGCACTTTCCTGTCACCTCAGTCTGTCCCAGGTTCCCCCATAATCTTAATAATTTAGCAAATATATCAGAAGCCTCCCGTCCTGCTCCTTGCTATGTGCAGATTATGATTTCTGTTTGTGAAATGTTTTAAATGCCTACAAGTCTTTATGAGATAAATCATTTAATGCAACATTGAAATATTTTCAGGAATTCACCCAGCCTCCACTAACATGTGCCTCTCCTTGTCAAATAGGTAGACGGTAAGTGTAATAATCAGGTTGAGTCTTGGTTTACATGATGGACCAAAGGAAATCCATGGCATACACATACCTTAACTGTACAAATGATCATTGGGAATCAAGAATGAATTATTCCCCCAAACAGCAGTACACTAAATATCCATATTACCTGGTTCCTGGAAGAATTTCAGTTGAGGCAGGTGATGCTATTTCTCAAACCTCCCTATCTATATATCCACTTTCTAGTAAGAACAACAAAATACTGGCTTTAGCAGTTTTCCAGCTGACATATTCTCAGCCCTGGTAGAGGGGTTTGAAGTATTCAATTTTGAGGTTAATTCCCAAAACCTGGGCCAAGCTCTAAAATAATTTCTGCTGTTTACTTCAGTGTAACTTGCAAACATTATCAGTGTGTTCATGTGCTTTAATGTGATTTGGGGAAGGGCTTATTAAGGTATAATCCATCAAGCCATGGCCCAAGTGTCTTACCAGCTACCCAGCAGTGATGGAAACAAAGGCAAAAGTGTGTTAAAGATAAGGAAGACTCTAGTGGTTAGTCTATATAAAAAAAAGAGAAAAAAGAAAAAGAAAACAGTTAACTCTTTCATTATTCAAATCTCTTTTGTTCTTACATGTTACCAGTAGGCAGAATATAATCATTCTATATGTTGCTTTTGTAAAATCAAACATTTTTCCTGTTTTCTAAAAATTTGTAAGTAGCTGAGCCCTTCTTCTGAACAGTAGGTGTGCATTTCACCCTTCTATCATGTTTATCAATTACCTGACAATCTTAAAAATGAAAAAATAATACTTTACTTTTGAGCTAACACATGTGTTACCTTTTTTAAAAATCTTGCTTTTTAAAAGACTTACTGATTGTCTTTGGCCTCTGTAAAATTTCTAAAATCCTTCAGGTTTATGAAGTGTTCTTTCTATAGGTTATTTTTGGAGATTTTACCAACATTCTAGGTATATCTGGCCTAAACACTACTTTGATATCTATGCAAGGATGCATATTTTTAAAATTTTGAGAATTAGGCAATTAATTTCAAAAAGAACTACTCTGTGACTGTTGATCATAGATGTTTACAGCCTTTCAAAATTAATTTATATTTTTTATTTTAAAAATGGATTTATGTTAACTTGAAAAATATCATTCAATAGCTAGAAACCCAGTAGAAAGTTTCACTTTTATTACTATAATTTGGATTTAAATTTGTGTATTTATATTTTAACTATATATATGGAAATCACCGTATAATTTTTCAAATTTTAATACTCAAGTTACAGAGACATGTTATAGTTAAATGATTTGTACATTTGAAGTTACAGGTGTTTGATAAAATAAATAGATTTGCATTGCGGTAATTGTGTAAATATCCATGAAAAAATACAAGGAAACCTGTTAGTGGAAATGCATCAGATAATGAAACAACATCATAAAAATTTGTTTCCATCTCCCAAAAACAAAAGTTTGAAAGCTGTCTTAGCATCAAACAAAATCACATATACCTGTAATTCCTATTTGATAATATATTTTGAAAAATATATCCTACTTTTAGCAGCACCAGCTTCTTTTTTACTTGTTTAATATTTTTTTTGTTTTCTATTCTATAACATATCATCTTTTACAGTTCTCATAATTTTGCATATCCTGGAATATGTTAGAATGGCCTCTTCATTATTGTCATTATTGTGCCTTAACTAAATAGTAAAGTCAAACAGACATGTTTAGAGCTTTTCTTTTTCTCTTTTGGGGCTTGTACAGAAAAGAAAGTTATGAGATACAAGTGTTCACCAAAAGGAGACTCACCTTGGAACATTCTTTACTTAACACGAACAGCAACAAAAGTGTTTTTTTAGGAAAAATGCTAAAGCTTTTTAATATAATTCTTACAGCAACCTGGTGAAGCACAGAGAAGGTACATAACTTGCCCAAGTTACTCAATTTATAAGTGATGGGATAAGGACTTAGACCCAAGAATCTGGCTCCAGGGTGTTGACTCCATTGTGTTGCATTTGTTTGCATGATTTCCAGAAGTTGAATTCCTACTCGAAACCTGCGTCTCCCAGTGCTCAGGGCTTTGCTGTCTGTAAGTCGTGACAATCACAATGGTGCTACGAGGTCCATAGTCCCACTTAATGGATGAGAAAACTTATGCTTAGCTGATTAAATTAATTAATGTTCCAGGGGTATTGGCAGAGCTGTGATTAAATCCTGAGTGTGTCTGACTATAGAATCTGAGTTGTAATATTCAAATTAATTAATTAAAAATCAGGTTAATACATGATTGTCATCATATGATATGATGACACTTTGGATTTGAGAGAGCTGGCAGATGAAGCGTCATGGGGAATTGGAGAGTAACTGAAGAAGCAGAGATAGGATTTGGGAATTAGCAACCTGAAATTTACATACAGCAATATACAATTTGGATGTTTGATAAGGATTTGGAATTGGTAAACTTCTAGAAAAGGCTCCGTATCCTGACTTAAGTATGTCTTTTAAATCACAAATGGTGATTACATAAAGTTAGCACCTGCATGCAAACTCACTGAATATGTCCTATTCATCAGTCTCCCCACTCTGTAGCGGGCTCTATTGCATTACAATTGTTCAGTAATGATTTTTTTTAACAAAAGAATCCTTACATAAACAAGTATATAATAGTCATTTTTCATAATCCTTAAGAATAGATCAAAAATAAAATAACTTTTAGGTTGACACAACTTTATATAAATTTCATTAGTCTTCTTTGTTCATGTTACCTGATTTAATTCCAACAAGAGTCTTGCCAAGAAGTTGCTATTATTCATATTTCTCAGTTGAGGAAATTGAGGTTTAAGGGGTTTAGGTACCTTGCCCACTTATCTAAGGTAAGAGCTAGAACAATGACTCAAGCCAACCCTCACATTTTAAGTCCATGCTGCTTTAAGGGTTGAAAAAAAATTGTGTTTGTAATGCATTATTTTTAAAATACACAATATTTTATTTTCTGTGTGGTTTTTAAAAATTAGACGTTTAATCACAAAGGCTAATTTTGATGTCTGAGAATCAGAGCTGCCCTCTGGTAGTATTTTCCAAAGTTTTGTAAATTGGTGCTTATCAATTTCTTGTGCTTAAAGGATTTGGTATTTAAAAAGTGGAGCTAATGCACATGATTCTGTTCCTCAAATTTTCTTCAGGTCCTGAGGAGGTAGAAATCAAGTGCCCCTTGAATCACATTGCTTGCCTTGGTGCCAACACATGTATTCATTTATCTCAACTGTGCAATGGTATCGCGGACTGCTCAGACGGGGATGATGAAGGACGGCACTGCCAGGGTGAGTGTCTGTGTAACAGCGCAACTGAAATATTAAATTTTTCATATTTTTAATGAAAGTTCAAAGAGAACCTATAAGCTGTCTTTCTTTCAACCATGACCATGTCAGTTATTGAGAAAGCAAGAATTGCATTGCCAGAAACCCTCAATATGCATTTCAAACCTGAAACCATTGTGCTTTATTGAAAAAGGCTAGTAGAAATAGAAAAACATTTGGAGTTTGAAGTCAAGCTCTGAAACAATTGTATAGTTCATAGGAAAGAGTACTTTTAACAAAGAACTAAAGAGATGTCTTCGTCATGGTAGATGGATACCATACAGTGTCATACACTTCTTTCTCTGAACCTTTGCTTAAACAAACATTTGAAGTAAAACTTTTGCAACCAAATATTTTAATGGGATGTATTCATGGGAAATTTTTCTTTAGTGCTTTTTTCCAAGTTATACCAACTCTTTTGTAATTTTCTTTCTTTTTAAAATCAACATCTAAAGTTTACAGTCATCAAGGGTTCCTCTGTATATTAATGATAGGAGGAAGAAATAATTAAAATCTCAAAATTAACAAGAAGTTAATGGCACTGGCACATTGTAATAAAACTAGCTGGGGAGGTACATTATATATGAGACAAAGAAATAAGAAGAAGTTGAGGATTAAAGCAAGGACCCAGATCTGGAAACAAAACCAAGGTACCTGTCAAGTGCATCAGGCTGCAAGAAGGAAGCAGGAAAGATACCACTGAACTGGAAATTTGCAACTCGGGTTGTAACACAGAGGATATTCATTGAAGCTAGGATGTCAAAGAGTAACATCTTTCATGTTGGGGTCAGTAAGACAATACGGAATAGACAGAAATATAGAAAACTGGAGATACATGTCTGGTCTTTGGAGAGATTCACACAAAGTAATTGCTGTCAGGTGGGAAAAGGTCCTAGGAGTCCAAAAGTTCCAGTTTTTCAGAAGGGCTTCAAATCCATATGCATTTAAAGTGTTCAGAGTCCACTCATGCTTTTTAAAATATTGTATGGTAAACAATGTACAAGCCAAACAAAACCTGTCTGGAGGCCTGACAGGGCTTCCTGGCTGTCAGTTCCCTACCTCTGGGCTGAATGAAGTGACTGGATTCAATACCAGAGACGGACAGATTTATTAGGAAAAGAGTAAATCTTAGAAAGGTAATCCAAAATTGTGAGGATGTAAGAGACCGTAGATCAACTGGGTCCCTAGTTTTTTCCCTTTCTAGAGGAACATCCAATTACCCTGGCTCTGTGGACAGATTCAGACTGAGAAGCTAAAGGGGTTCCTTCTTTGGCTGAGTTTCCTTTCTTAGCCTTGAACCTTGACACAGTCACACAGAGCCAGCAGATCCTTAATTTCAGTTATGAACCCATGTAATAATAATAAGACATCTCATTTCTATTCAAAGGCTTTGGGATGTGTATTCTTTTTTATAATTGTATATTAAGAAAAGTGATATTAATGGAAAGTAAAGTACAGAATTACAAAGTGATAGAAGCCAGTCTAATTTTCTTTTCAGAAATTAATTATATTTTCTAGAGCCTAATTCTATCCACTTCAGTTATAATTCAGGCTTCTTATTACACGAAAAAATACTCTCTAATAGACATGTGTGACTAAGCTTCTGAAAGAGTGAAATCATCACATTGCCAAATATTTCCTCAGAGGTGATTACACAAACGAGTATTTTGAACATATTTCAGTGCTATGAAATATATGAAAATATAGGTGAGTTTAGTAAAATTTAGAGTTGTGATCTAAAAATTGTGAAAGGCTATGTTAGTAGTAAAGCGGGATTCAAGTACAGAGTATTTGAATGTAAGTAAATTGTTACTAAATTTATTCCTATTTTTGGAAAGATCAGCATATACTTCAGACTGAAAGTGTGTATTTGTTTATACTTCAATTTTTTTTTCCTTTTCTAATCCAGGTCTCTACATGTTCCAAGTTCCATATTTCTTTCATTAGTGACATTTTATTTTTCCTCTTAATTTGCCAGTAGGAGTCTAATTGTACCACTTGGCCTTTTAGAAGTTTCTAGATTTCACCAAGTGAAATGTTTTAAAATACCTATTTTAAAGTCATATTTATTATGGCCTGCAGTAGACTTGGAAATAAGAATTATATTTGGATCTCTACTTGCTATTTACTTCAGCAGAAGTTTTTCACCTCATTCTGTGGCCTTATACACTGCATAGAATGGTAGGATAGAACCTTAGTGACTGAAAGATACAGTCATTCCAGAGTTAGTGGTTTAATAAAAAGTTTCTGTATTGAGAAAAGGTAATTAGAAATGTGTTTGACTGCTTGGCCTGGGAGATGTCCTTGGCACTCAGATGAAAAATCAAATCTTTTGGGCAACATAAGATTTGTCAAATGTACATGATTTTTGTTTAAATGAGAAAAGATGATTGATTATAGGCAAAAGTGCATTATAGGAACTGAGTCTACTCTCCCACCCTCAGCTTTCCTTCTAATTTTGGAGGAAGTGAAAAACTGTATTCTGACTAATTAGGCACAACCCTTTCAAGTCTCTAAGAAACTTTCTAATCTACTATAGACATATTATAAAGAAAAAACCAGATAACTCAAACTTTTCCTTGACTTTTAGAAATGCTTTTACTTTGCAGAACAGTTCTGTCTAAATCACTCTCTTTCCGTTGTTTCCTTTTTGTTGATTCTACACATATACTCTAATTTTAGTAATATACATGAAACCTCAGATTTGATTCAAAGATGAATGTTTTCTTTTCTCTAATCAATGATACAAAGTACATTTGGTAGTGTATTTTTATCCCTTTGAAAATTAATAAGGAGAAAAGTTTAACATTTTGGAGGTGATATTCTGGTCTTGGGAGTGCTTTTGTATCAACCAAATTGTTTTCTGAATATTTCCTAGAAAAAATCAATTTCTTCCTGGAGAGGGTAATGAAAAGATATTTATTATTAATGATTTTCTATAGCACTGATATTTTAATCTCCATAATTTAGCTCCATTTGAAGAAAGAAAAAATGGATTTATGAAAATGGTGTACTTATATATATAGGAATATGCTTGTAAAATTTTTACAATTTTACAAGAACACTCAAAATCACCATGTTATATTCTAGAAAATTTCATCTCTTCCTATATAGTATTTTATATTGGTGGCAGTATCCTATATCTAAATTGCATGAGCAATGAAAACACATTCTGTATTGTACAACGCTTCTCAATTCAGGATATTTTCACAAAAATTCTCATAACCATGCAAAGAATGCTGAAAGTGAATAAATTCATCTAATAAAGACCAGATTGACTGAAATGTATCAAAATACTATCTTAAAATTTGACATTCTTAAGATAATTCATTATCTTAACTGCCTGTCAACAAGATAAGCCCTTCTTTATTCACAATCCTAGTTAAACTATGTTTGCAGTTGCAAAATGGCCATACATTTAAGTGTACAGGGAATGCTATATCCTCTGTGACACTATCCTTTCTTACTTGATTAAAAGAACATGGAACTCTTCAGATCTTTGCAAAAAGAGATTTTCTTCTGTGTCTCTAGAAAAAGTGATTAAGTAATCTATGTGATGGTTTTGCAGTACACATCTAATGTCCTTTTAAATTTAAGGGGATAAAGTATGCAGAGTTTACTAAAACTGATTAGGGAATGAAACTGACATCTGTAAAGCTCACCACCAATAGGCACACACAAACACACATACTGTTCTTTTCTGATTCCCCTCTTTGCTACTCTGAACCTGTTGTATGTAATCCTGAGTGTGTAATGTATTTAATTCATGTCTTTGGTCAGGAAACTAATAAGGAATAAGACTCATCTATTATTTAACTCCTTAAAAAAATTCATATTAATTTTTTTTAATTCCATTGGACTATTTTACTTGCCTGTTGAAATATAATTTTCCTAATATGTGCAATAACATTTTTCTCCATCTACCTATAATCTATTTTAATGTATTTTTGACTTCAGTGATTCTAATGCATTTATTCTAAAGTGTTTATTTTGATACCAACTTATGACATTTAAAATGTTATATAGTTGATTTTTTTATTACTATTAATAAATCTAAAGTCCTATAACAAAGTGCTAAAATAATCCTGGAGGTAATTTATAAATTAAATGCTTTCTCAAAATGGACCAAGGTTAATAGTAATCTTTATTATCTGTAATGACTCCCCATAGGACAATTAGTAATCCTTAAAGCTTCTTGCTTAAAAATCTCATATGTGTTCCAAATATTCAAAAAAATAATTATTCTAACTCAATTAAATTTATAAACTAAATTTATAATTTTATTTAAATGTTTATGTAATTATTTAGTTATATAATTAAGATTTAAAAATTGAATTTAATAAATTTAATAAAAAATTTGCAATTACTTCCTAGCTCAAATGTTCAGGACCCCATTTTTTCATCCTGCCAGTAAGGAAATTTTTTATCTTGTGGTGGTGTTTTATTAGTCATTATAAGACTGATTTCAGAGTGGCCTAAGATTAGCTTGTAGCTACCAGGAAGGAAGGAAAGAAAGAAGTTGGTGAAACTGAGAAGACAAATGAATTTGGCACACTTTGTTGTCTTTACTTTCAATTTATTGTGTCAGTGGATCTTGTCTTCCCATTTTAAAAGTTCCCATTGAAAAATATTGCCAATCTCTTTCTAAACTGAAATGAGGTAATCATGCTAGAGAAGGGAATTCTGGCACACAGAATACAAAGCAAAGGCATGGACAGGAGGCATGGAAAGGGTATCTGTCACCAACGGGAAACTGAAGAACTGGGAGGGAAACTTCACCAGTGTGTACTTAGGTCACTTGAAACTTCGATAGGCCTAGAGGCAGAAAATTAACAATGGAAAATGGCCAGGAATTTGTGTACTCAGACCACTTTTGATTACTAAAGCTCCCCCAGTTTAAGAGTAGATCTGCTATATTCTTTTCTTTGTGTTGTTTTCAGGTGATTGGATAATTTCAAATCTAT